CTAGTAATGGAGGAGGTAATCGAAGTATTTGGGCTCAAATGAAAAATAAGAACAAGTGCCAACTCGTATGTCTTGGAACCATACTACCCTTCATTGTTCCTAATGCTATCTACACCCACAACCCCCGACGATAAATTTAGCTTCATGGTCTATCCTTCTTCCTCGCACAATCAATCATGGTGTTATGATACTAGTGCTTCCTTGCTAATCTCAAGCATATATGAACCATATCGAGGATCGAATCGATTACAAGTTGAAAATAATGAGTACTTACTTATTACACGTATTGGCACTAGTCACATTCAACACCATTTAAGACTCTTTATTTGTTCGATGTACTTCATGTTCCATAAATAACTTGTCCTTTACTCTTTGTAAAATATTAGCCCATGATAATACCTTATTTTGAGAGTTTCACCCTTCCACCTTTTGTATTAAGGATTAGGTACATAGGACACCGCTTCTTTCGGGCCGAGTGATGCCGACTTATATGTTTTTCCTTCACATTCCACTCCTCATGCGTATTCCGCTAAAATGCCTCTAAAAATTTGGCACTCCAAATTAGGACATCCATAGAAACAGATTCTTAATTTTTTTAAAATAAATATAATGGTTTGACTATTTCTTTTAGTATTTCAAACATATGCCTATCTTGCCTCTTGGAAAGGTGAAAAAATTATCCTTGGCTTCTTCTTTTAATGTTAGTATTGAGCTTTTTAATCTTATTTTTAATGATGTATGGGGACCATCACTAATTATTACCGATGATGGTTATAAATATTATGTAATCTTTTATTGACTATTATTCTTAGTATATTTGGTTTTACCCTTTATGTAAAAAATCGAAGTGTTTGATATTTTTCGTCAATTTGAAAATTTTATTGAGAGATAGCTTAGTTACAAAATAAAACAAGTGCAAATGGATTACTGGGGTGAATCTCATCGCCTTAATTTATTTTGTAAAACAATAAGCATTGCTTATCGTATAATGTGCCCTCAAACATACTAACAAAATGGGTACTCGTTGAATGACATCATCGTTATATTGTGAAAACTAATTTAAATCTTCTAGGTGAAGCCGGTGTTCCTCGTAGTTACTAGCATTTTGCTTTAAAAACATTTGTCTTTTGAATCAATAGGATGCCATCTCCTATTATTCGAATAAGTCTCAATTCGAAGTTGTTTTTAAAAAAGTCTTAGATTATGCTTTCTTGAAAATATCCGGTTGTCTTTGCTTCCTTTTTTAGACCTTATAATAAAAACAAAATGGAATTTCAGCCTCGTTCCTTGTGTTTTTCTTGGGTATAGTCCTTCTCTTTTGGGATATCTTTGTTTAGATCTTAAAAATAATCAACTCGTACATTGCCCGTCGAGTTTGCTTTATAGAATTAGAATTTCTTTTTTCCAAAATAATCAATTTAGATTTTTAAGTAACCCCATCATTGTATTCAACCTCTTGGGTTAGCTTTCCTATCTATATTAAACCTCATTCTCCATATTTAATTCAACATCACTTGGTTCATACTCCATGGCAAACAAGTCTCCCCGCTAGCTCTACCCAACCTCTCGTCCAATTCCACAAAGAATCGTCCATAAAACAAACAGTCCATCCACTTCCCCGCCCTTGTTCCACGGACCACAAAGCCTACACAACCCATCTAACTCACCGACCTTAGTCCTTAAAGCCTAAAGCCCACTAGAATTGTTCACATCACCTTATAACCCCCACGACCCTTCCATATCACCTTATAATACACACAACTCTGCTAGCCTACCAACCATGTTCCACAACCACAAAAACCTGTCTAGCCATCATGCCTACACTACAACCCACAACACTCATCCAACTTACCAAGCCGGATCTCCTAACCATATAACTTATTCAAATCACTCAACATGATCAATAGCCCTCAAAGCCTACCACCGGATGCAATATCATAATCTTTACCCCTAAAGCTCACTATTATGGTCGCTACTCCAACTCTCCACAATACTTTATCACATCAAACTAATAAAGGGTTAAACTTGGTGCTTAATTTTAGTGACTATAAATTAGCAACAAAACGAAGTTAGTACTCATCATTCCACTCCATAGGCAACCGGATCTCATCACATGGTTCTAAGACATATGACCAAGCATTCTCACCCGTAGGCTTTCATGGTATTCACCACCATCACACTATCCGAATCACCATCTTGCTATTCTTAAGCCATTAAACACTTGGCTTGGAGATCGACTATGGGTGCTAAAATTACTACATTTCTTAAAACTAGTACATGGTTTTTAGTACCTCCTTCTCTTTCTATGAACATTGTTGGCAATAATTGGGTTTTTAAAACAAAGAGGAAGGCATATGGTAGTTTTGAGAGACACAAAGCTAGATTAATGGCTAAAGGATTTTACCAATAAGAGGGGATAAATTATGGAGAAACCTTTAGTCCCATCATCAAGCCGATATCCATTCGAGTGTGTACTCACTTTGGTAGTGAACAATGGTTGGCAAGTCGGGTAATTAGATATGTATAATGATTTCATGAATAGGACTTTATTAGAGGATGTCTATATATCTCAACCCATTGACTTTGTTAATAATAGATTCCCCGACTATGTTTACAAACTCCAAAAATCCATCCATGGATTGAAACAGATCACCACGAACTTGATTCTCCTTTCTTCAAGAATTCTTGGTCAATTTTGAATTTATGGCTTTAAAAACAAATCGTTTCTTGTTTATTTTATACTCGTCTATAGGTTCAAGGTCTTCTTGCTTGTATATATGGATGACATTTTTCTTATAGAAAATAATGATCAATTCATCTTATCCGTAGTCAATGCTCGAAGTCATTATTTACAATTAAGGATCTTGGAGAAATCAATTTTTTCTTTGGTATTGAGGTGACCAAAACTTCGATGGACCTATTATTGTCTTAAAAGAAAGACATTACCGACATTCTTGAAAAACAAAGAATGTTGTCATGTTGTCCAAGTATCCACTCCCACGTGAACCACTTTTAAACTAACAAAGGAATCGGGAGATGTCTTTTCCATTGCCACACTCTAGTAGTAGGTTGTGGGTAGGTTGTGGGTGCTTTGCAATATGTCATGTTTACTCGATCGGATATTACTTATGTGGTTAAAAAAGTTTGTCAATTCATGTGCGAGTCCAAAGATGGATCATTGGGTTCATTTGAAAAGAATCCCACGGTATCTTAACTACACGGCTAATTATTGTTTGCACATTCGCTAGTCTAGTCTTATCCTCTCTTGTTTTTCGATTCTAATCGGGCGGGATCTATCGATGATAGAAAGTCCACTCGGGAGTTATGTACTTTAACTTGGTAACAATCTTATTTCTTAGAAATTCTCTAAATAGAAGACTATGGCTCGAAGCTTAATAGAGGTCGAATATAAAGCGATGGTCGACTTAGCTATTGAGTTATCTTGGGTTACTTGTCTGCTGCGAAACTTGGTGTCTCTTTACCGACTCCTCCCACTACTTAGTTTGATAATACAAGCGCTACCTATATAGTAGTAAATCCTTTATTTCATGCCCGTGCAAAGCATATTGAAATTAATTTTCTTTTTGTTAGAGATATGTTGGCAAAAGGTAGTCTCCGGATCAAATTTATTTCTAGTCGGGATCGGTTAGTCGACAATCTAACTAAACCATTGTCTAGCATGAGATTTCGGTTTCTTAGAGACAAGCTAACTACCGGGAAGATACCATAGTTAATTTGTGATGGAGTATTAGACACACGCAACAAGGACTCCAACATTGATAAGTCCCGTTGTAACAAGAACTCTAACTCCTATTGTAACAAGAACATTCTCTCTCTCTAGAACTTAATTATATATGAAAATAATCATGTTCTAGATGATGTTACAAGTATCTTATACTCAAGCTACTATTTCATTCATATGAGATTTTTTTTTTTTTTTTAAGTTCTTATTCAAGATTTTAATAGAAAATTAAATAAAAAGTATTCATGTGAAATGTTAGTGAAAGAATGTACGAGAGACAACAAAAATGGTGATTGATACTCTTTATTACAAAAAAATATTTTTTTATAGTTTTTTGTTTTTAACTTATTTTTATTTTTGTATCGTTAAATGGCTGTTAAATAGTGTTGAAGAAAAAAATATTTTTTTATTATTATATTTGTCTTATTGAAAAAATGTCTATTTTTAATTTTTCTAATTTTAATTTTTTAATTTTTATGTTTTGATTTGTATGAGATATTTTATAAATTTTGGAGATGAGATTGAAATGTAGGAAGATTGGAAAAGATTTTTTTAAAAAAAAAGGAAAAAAAAGGGAAGAAGATATAAAGTTTACTTGAAACAAATCAAAAGTTTTAATTAAAATTTAGAAAACACACAAACATTAGGAAGAAAATTGAAAATTTCCCTTTTTCTTATGGAATGAAACACCGTACAGATTCAAATGAAGATCCCAACTTTTCAGAATCCATGTGATAGTAAGAATCTTAACCTTGTGAGAATTAGTGACGCTATATTTTCCTTTAGAAATTCCTGACTGAATATATATATTTGAGTGAAGATAAAGTAGACACAAAATGAATGCCAAGATTTTTATCGTTGAATGGTGCTTTTTACGAAGTGGGGTACGTTTTCTAAAAGATTATGTAATTTTGTTACCTTGTCTTTATTGAGTAGTGATAATCAAACGGAAGAAGATCCTTCAATCAGTACGAACGTAAATCTAACGGTTTGGAGCTGTTGGACTGGTAGCTGATGAATAGAAAATAACGCATCTATCTTTTCAAACTCACAGCTTCAAGAAGCAAAACCTTCTGCGGTTACAAACCCTGCACGTCGCCTTTATTAGAAACTACGAAATTTGGCTCTGAAAAGTGCTATTTAAATGATAGCTTAGAGGCAGTGATCGACATGCAAATACACTTAACGTGGTTGTTGATACTCTGTACACTTGTCTGCTTTAATTTAGTGGGGGGACATACAGTTCGTAAAAGTTTCTATGGAAAGATCATTACGAGTGAAGAAAGGTGCATGGACCGAAGAGGAAGACATACTTCTAAGGAAGTGCGTTGAAAAATATGGTGAAGGAAGATGGCATCAAGTTCCTCTCAGAGCAGGTATCTAAATGTCTTCATTCGTGCTTGTAGTTCAATGTGGGTTTGTAAAGCTGAAAGAGGTATCCTCCTTATTATAGAAGAAAGAAAAAAGCCCTTGAAGGAATTTCCCTCTTATTGAAAAACATTACGCTCTCTCTTTTCGACAATATGGAGAGATCATGAACAATTATCACTATAGAATTTCTCATGTGTAAATGTCTATATTGAACATAGTCTCTCGATGGTGACAAGTATGCACTGATTCTCACATTTGATTTGCAGGCTTGAACAGATGCAGGAAAAGCTGTAGAATGAGGTGGTTGAACTATCTTAAGCCAAATATTAAGAGAGGAGGGTTTTCTGTGGACGAACTTGACTTAATTATCAGGCTACACAAACTGCTTGGTAACAGGCAAGTGTATCTCAGTACTATTGGTGAGGTCATTTCTCAAATGATAAACCATATATATATATATAAACGTTTATATATATATATATAATAAGAATTTTCTTAGCATTTTTTTTTTTTCAAACGTGAAGGAGATATCAGAATTGTAATTTGCCAAAAAAATATTAACATTTTTAACTTTTAGGGGTCCTGTAATTTTCTTGAAGCATACTATTGACTATAAAAATATAAGAAAAATAGTAATGACTTGCTGTAGTTATGGTGATGAGATGAGTTAATTAGAGGTATGGTGGTGGCAACAGACCTTTAGTCCGTTGCAGTCAGGGATTGTAATGAGCCGAACTGTTGGACTTAGCTTTCGACTATAGCAAAAGATTTCTGGAGCTGGGCTTCTTTGACCAAATCTTCTGGAAAAATTTAAAAAAAGGTGCCTTCCTGGCATCTGCTGGTGCTCAAAATTCTATTTGGGGAGTCCCAAGCTAATTTGAATAATTTGTTGGTGGCAAGCAAACTTTGATACTTAAGTTGGTGGCTTTGAGAAAGACACAAAAAATCTCAAAGTCCTTTTCAGGTAGAGGCAAATCGTCAAGTGTAGTACGTTGACGGCTCATTAAATGTGGAGATCCTTAAAATTAATATTTTTCAAAATTTCATCATTTATTTATAAGTTTTTTTATTCTCAAAGTTTTCATAGAAAATATTTTAATCTTTATTTTATAAAATTTATATAATCAAGTCCATTTTATTTATTTTTTATTTTTCTTCTAAAAAATAATAGATATTAGTTGAATATAAAATAAGTATCTATATCTAACATTTTTATTAGTAGATAAGTATTTTTTTTTATCGTTATTAATCTCAATGCCTATTATATTTTTAAATGAATATTTAATAGACTAGATAGAGTAAATACCCTCCTTCATACTTGATCTATTACCGATCTTTGTTGGAGTATCAATATTCAAATTTGGCATTTAAAATAAACAAATCTAATTAAGTGAACTATAACTTAGCATACATAGTTTAATAAAACTAATTAATTAATATAAGTTTTAAAACTCTATATTTGATCCCTATATTAAAGTTGTATACAATTTAAACCTATTTCAATTACATTTTCTTTCTTGAATAGATTAATATATATAGAAAGGGAAGTAGGCAAAGTGGGGAATTAATTTGGCTACAAAAGAAGGTATATTTGAAAGCAATATATATATATACACACACAGTAAATTTAAGATGATCAACATCAATCAATGTATTATTTGACTATTCTAATGCTATAGAGACTAAGTTATACTAACTCATTTTAATTTCACATATGGCGATCATATGTATATAAATATATTTATATATTTTTCTCTTTGTTACACAGATGGGCATTGATTGCTGGTAGACTTCCAGGAAGAACAGCAAATGATGTAAAGAATTATTGGAACACAAACCTGCGAAAGAAGATGGATTCCAGCAATAAAGATGTTAAATCAAAACCGGAACCAAAATCAATAACAAAAGCTACAATAATAAAGCCTCGACCTCGAAACTTCAAAAATATAAGCTGGTTGAGAGAAGGCACTCCATTTATCAATGTTTGTCATCCATTTGGAGACGATCTTTGCAAGCCATATTCTACAATGGCACCTTTCGATAATAATGAAGTTGAAAGTATGTGGTGGGAAAGCTTGTTAGATGACAAAGAAATCAATATAACAAACAACAACAGCTGTTTGGGTAATGTGTCAGAAATTGATCAGGAGCCAATCAAAAGTGTTTTCGGAGATAGCAATTCACCAGGAGGGGAAAACGTAGGGAACATGTTCTATGAACAAGGACAAAGGTGTTGGAGTGACTTCTCTTCTGACGATGCGGACCTTTGGAATCTGATCAATACAGAACTAGATCAACAACTACTTGAACAACTTTAGTCTTTCTTCTTGTAATATTTGGTGTCAATCACTGCACCAAAAATTTATTATCCCTTATAGATTAGTTAAAACTGAAAATAACACTTCATAAAACTTCATAAAGCATACACTGTGTTTATAAACACTGATTATCTCTATCACATTCATAATCATCCAAAATCACTTCCAAATCCGATCCAAATTAGAGGAAAAAAAATCATTATTTGATAATAACCACGTTTCTTATACAATAAGATCTATCAAACCGAAAATGATAGTTTGTGACTTTTTTTTTTTTAATCCAATAGATAATGGAGGTGGCTTGTGGCTTGTTATTTCTCTTGTTCGTTAGCTAAAACTTTAAGGAATAATTATTAAAAAAAAATCTCTATAAAAAACCCAAAAATATATTTTTGAATCTGTTTTTCAAACTTTTTTTAAAGAATTGTTCTTACCAAAACACCTTCTAGTTAACTTCTAGCTTTAAGCTAGTTAATATATTATAGTTATTAGCTAAAATATCCTTAATACGATAAACACTCTATTTTTTGTTTTTTTGTTTTTTCGAAACATAACATACACTAACACACACATATATAGTTGAATATTGAGGCCAATATGGTCAAGATGGACATTTTTATCAGCCATCTTGCCTCTCGGCTAAAAGTAAGTAGCCTATGAATCTGGGTGGAAAACTATAAAAATAAAATAAAATATCAAATGTAAAGGAACTTAATTCTATTAGATTTAAGGAATTATTAGATAATTCTACAGTAATTCACATAAAAGTAAGATTTCTAAATAGCTATGATGATAAGTTTCATTTTGATGCGAATAAGGATAAACCTTCACACATGGAAGCTGTTTAACAAAAAATTAATAATGAATACACTCATGATTTGAATGGCCAAAAAATCCTATAAAAGTACCAACCATGCTATTTTTTTCTTTTCGTGAAGATTTAGTTATCTTTTTTCGTTATTTGAAGCAAAACTCTGTGATCATATATTACGAAAAGAAAACAACCAATTAGCAACGGATAAATCCGTCTCTACTAAGGAAAATTTTTTCGTTAAAAGCTTTTAATGACAGATTTGTGATGAAAAAAATGTAGCTAAAATGCTTGTCGCTAACCCTAGCGACGGACAAATAGTATCCGTCGTTAATTTAGCGATGGTTTTTTCATTGCTAACTCGTTATATTTGGTGGCTAATTGATCATCAAAAACGTCGTCTTCACGCCAAATAATGCATCGCAATTCCATTTTTAAATCCGTTGTTAATTGACGATCGATATATTCTTGCTAAAATCCAAAGCTAATTTAGTTGTCATTATTCCATTGCTATTTTAGTCTTCAATTGTAAAAAATTATGCTAATTTGTCACTAATTTTATTGTTATTATTTAAAAAAATTATTATTTTTTTAGTTTTTAAATTTGTGATATTCTCGATAGTAACTAACAATCGAACGTGAAAATGTATTATAAAAATTTAATTACTCATTAAAATTTTAATATTATAAATTTATTTTAAATTAATATTAACTAAAAAAATTCATTATTATGTAAGAAAAAAGATAAAAAAAATAAAATGAAATGTCAATCCTAATCATCATCTTGATCATCTAATCCTCTATCCTCTTTCCGAGGCTCGATGGGAGGGAAGGTGAAGTCCTGGTTGCTAGGCGAATCTACGGGTAGTCCGGACGTCTATGCCAACCTATGCAACATTGAGGCAAGTGACTCATACCGAGACTACAACCCTTGTATGATACTCGTGTCTGTTACATTACAATGTTTTATAGTTAGTATAGTTTGGACTACATCTTCTTTATCGCTGCATCATACCGCCTCCTTACCTCCTCGGGAATATCGTTAGTATACGATGATGACACAACGGATGAGTTGGCACTACTCGACGAAGATAGATAATGTGATGCCTATGTGCTTACACTATATAGCCTTTTCTTCTTCTCCTCTTCTAATGTCTCGAGGCATATAGTGTTCTTATCCACTTATGGCTTCGGGATTCCTTCGCCCTCTCGCTTCTCAATAGCTTCCCATGTGAGCTCATCAACACGCTTTTGCATAATCAAAACTAATTATAACGTTAAAAGATTAAATAAGTTTTTAGATTATATTTGCATACATAAAATTTAAAAATTTAAAACACTTACCATTTTATGTTGGGCACACGGATCGATGAAAGAGTCATCCATTCATTTGTGAGTGGCCTAAAACAGATTGTAAACATGTTGGCTCATACCTCGATTTTACCATTTGATAAAAAATAAATCACAAACAATAAGAGATGTACAATTTCTTAAATATTTAATAATATAAGATATGATTTACCAAGTGATGGATCCTTTTGTATGCCCGGAAAAGCCCACACTAGAGCCAACGATCTTCGACATACGGTTTCAAGATGCTCGCTCCAAATGAGACTTGTGATCAAGTGTGGTAAAATCTTGATACCACAAGTCTCAAACCTCTTGCTTAATAAAATTAGGTCGTTCAAGCAACGAACCATAGTCATAGATGAGGTCGGAGTAGTGCTTCCTTGCCGAGCCTTCCAAGCATCTCTAGCTTGTTCCTTCATTGGTCGGATCCTAATAAAAATATTTTTGAGTGAATAAAAAAATATTAAATAGATTATTTAATGTTAATTTAATATTTTAAATATAATAAAAGACATCCAACCGCTCCTTGATGATCATGGTTATTTTTATGGAATAACCTTAACTAGAGGGAATGAAACTATCAAACATAAAAAAATAGAAAAAAAACACTTAGTAATTATTGAAATGATATATTAAAATAAAAAAATAATAACAATTTTTTTAGAAACTACATACCATTTATGAGTGATAGAAACATGCCATCGACTTGGAGGAGCTTTTGGAGCTCTCTAAAGTGACGGACACATCGAGTGGATGTGGCACCCTCTGCAAATGGTGCTGAAACCTTTATGGCTAGTTTTGGAACCTCTATAGCCTATAATAACATGAAAAAAAATTTGAGTTGGTATAAATAAGGGCGATGACTCGCCCTTTTAGAATTTTCCTTTCCTCTTCTCCTCTCTCTCTCTCAAGCACTTTTCTCTCCCATTTTCTTCCAATTTCCCTTCTTTAATTTGTAAGCTAAGACTATATTAAATTAGCTTAGAGAAACCTTGAATTGATTGATTAAATGAAGCTTATCTAGTTTGAAGCTTGGAAAGCTTTGAGAACTAGAAAGTACTTAAGAGTTGAAGGATAAAGTGTAAAGGTAAGATTTATGGTCAATTGATCTTTGAATTATGATTCTTATAAGTAGTTAGTGGTGATATTGAATTGAAGTTGCTTTGGATTGTGAATTGCTTGGGGAATTGTTTAAATTAAGGTTATGGTTTTTAAGACCCATTTGGAAAATAGGTGATTCTAAGTGATTATAATGATTTGAATGATGTTTAATTATCTTGTGCAAGTGATGAATAAAGTTAATTTGAAGTGGATTAGAGTGAATTAGAAAAATTGAGAGGTTGAAGATAATGAATAATGAAAAATCCAAACATTAGGTTTTAATTCAAAAACATTTTGGGAAAATGAGGAATTAAGCTATATAAACACAATTAAAGGTAAATGGAATGGTTATTGGATGAATTAGGATGGAATTGATTAATTAACTGTTTAAGTTGAAAATTCATGATTGAATTAAGAATTGTGATGATGAGATTTAGTTAAGCAATAGATTAGAATTATTAGAAAGATCGTAGATTCTAGTTAAAGTTATCAATTTCTGTCTTTGATGAATTCTAATTTGTTGATCACTTTGTATTCTTATTTCAAGAATAATTCATTGTTTTCAATTATTCTTTGATGTATGGTATTGATGGATGTTCCATCATTTTGTGATGCTAGATTCCTTAAAGTGGGTGACTCCTTCACAACAAACTTGATCTGTTCGGATTCGTTTGATTTGTTATTTGTACTTGTGAGTGGATATTATATAGCACATTGTGTTTTAAATTCCTTTGATTATAACCATCACACATCATTGATTTAAGAATGATTTAGAAGCATTCCATTAGAACTTAGATAGGAATGGACTTCATAAATTTTGAAATGATTTCATATCAAAATGATTTGATATGAATTGGAAAAGGGTTTGAGTATGTGTTTGAACAAATATTTTATTGGGTTTGATTGTACTTTTGAATTTGAACATGAATGTGTTATAATCATTATTTTAACTATCCATATATTTTAAATTCCTTTGATTATATCCATCACGCATCATTGATACGAAATATTTGAACAAATATTTTAAATTCCTTTGATTATATCCATCATGCATCATTGATTTAAGAATGATTTAGAAGCATTCCATTAGAACTTAGATAGGAATGGACTTCATAAATTTTGAAATTATTTCGTATCAAAATGATTTGATATGAATTGGAAAAAGGTTTGAGTATGTGTTTGAACAAATATTTTATTAGGTTTGATTGTGCTTTTGAATTTGAACATGAATGTGTTACAATCATTATTTTAACTATCTATATAATTTTTAAAAATACATGTATAGTATTTGAAATACTTGGTTTGAAAAATATATAAGTATGTTCTATTTTTAAAAATATTTTTGAGACCATAGGGAACCTAGCTATACGTTGCGTGGACTTTGAGCTCAATGATACGAGATTCCAACTAGTAGGAGAGGTGTAGTGCTAGCCTATATGTCAACTAACATATAGAAACCTAATCATGAAGGGCATGACCTTTGGGTGTTTGCACCTAATGATACGTTATTACCCATTGTTGTATAAGAAATCTATATATGTGATTTCATATAAGTATGATATTTGTTTCTACGATTTCATACCAAATAGTTTTTGAACCATTTAAATTTTTCATATACGATTCGATTTAATAATGTGCATTGTGTTAGAGAATTAGCATCGCATTTTGACATGGATTTGAAAGTATCATTCTTAGTCCATTTCCATTCCTTTAGTATGTTGTATAATGTCTATTCACT